AAAGAAAATATATATTCTATTATTATTTATTTCATTTATGCACAAGAAAATAAATAAAAATATATACAAAAATGTTAAAAACTAAAATATGTGAGAAAATAATATTTTAAGTGTATAAATAATAAAAATAAAAATATATAATATTCTTACATTATTTACAAGTTTATTTAAGAAAATAAAAGTATATTATTATTAATAAACTATTTTTATGCCAAAAAAAATAATAAAAATAATAAAATAAAATGTAAAAATTGAGAAAATATTTTTGGGTTTTTTAATGTTCAAGAAAAAAATATTAAAGTCAGAAAATATAAAAGAAATGAAAAATAATACAAAAAATAGCAAATGGGCCAATGGGGTGCAGGAAGTAAAAGGGGGGTGCCAACAGAAACAAGCCCAAGCGCCAGGCCCATACACACTTCATCCCTGACCTCTGTCTTCTTCAAAACGCGCGCGCTATGTACAAATCCTGTTCCTGCTCATGCTTGCATAAAATCAAAAACGTATAACATGAAAAATATAGCTCATGATCACACGATTCCAATGATATAAAGAACTTGACCTAACTCTCAAAGATCAGAGAGAATTTCAGTGGCCCTAAATTCTGACCTAGTTTTTTCAGCATGTTCATCATCCAAATACTCCTAGCTCAGTTTACATAAATACAAACTAAAATTGTTGAGACCAAGCAAGGAGGCACTACTGTAGAGCTCTTTGGGCCTGCCGCTTTCTCAATCGAAAATGGAAACTGTCAAGATTAGCCTACTGAACGATTCTTTCTATCATTATATATGTAATTTCAGGATTTATTTTCGTTGATCGGATCGATTTGTCAGGTATACTACGAAGAATGGCATGGATCGGTAGGAAATACCATTCCGACACAATATGAGGCGGGGTGGGCATCGGATTAGCAGGTATATAATTGTCGGGATGCCCCAAAACATTAGGAGCATAAAAAATCCAAATGGAAAAAAAGATAGCAAAAGCTACCCAACCTATATGTACAGCTCAAGCAACTTAAGGACTACATTTTTGCTTCACAAACCTAAGCCTAATGATGCCTAAATAGAGAGATAGAAACTTGAAAATTACCTTGTTCAGTTGAGTTTGAATATGGCAATGTAGGCACTTTGAGTGAGGCCTGAAGTACTTGAGAGCTTGCTTGAAGTTCCCTCAACCTTTCCCAATGCTCAGCTTGCTTTGAAAGGGCTTGAATCTCCTTGTAGAAGTCAACCTGCAAAGCTTCCAAAATGAAAATGGTGATCCTTGAAACAGAGGTTACAGTTGCTTGAGAAAGGTCTAGACAGCTTAGGTGTGATGTATGGAATGTGTTTGAAGCCTTGAAACAAAAAACGCACGAGTGAAATTTGTTTTGGCTAGTGATCTGCAGAGGTTGCCCTGTTTTGGGCAGAAATGGTGATTTTGGTGTTTTAGGGTGTTTGCAATGCTACGAGTTCATGTATTGGCTTGTTACAATATGCTGAAGTTGTTTGGAATTATGCCAAGACTTAGTTTTAATAGATACAAGAGTTATGTTCACTTTTGCAAGTTTTCTTGTTTTTGAAGAAAAGGTGAGTTGACAAAGCTCAAAGCCTGTACAGGCTAGCTCAAGGCCTGATGAGAGTTGGTACCAATTGCCTGATATCTGTGGATCTTGTTTACAAAAAGATATTAGGTCCATGGCTCAAGATAAACAAAGTTACATAAAGCATGCTTTATCAAAATAACAATGTAAACTTTTTGCCATAAATGGAATAAATCAATGTACAATGCTTTATAGCTTAGAACAAAGCCATTGTTCAATGTATTTGCATTCAATTTTGGAGTGTAAAAAGGATTAGAACCTGTAATGCAATTACAAGCATGATCCAAACTGATTTGTAACTTGAACCAATGTGAAAAATGCCTAGGGCGAAATTTCACTAAGTTAAAAAGTTTATGGACCCTTATTCACAAAATCATAACTTGATATCCAAGCATCTTTTGGGAAAACTTTGTGAACCAAAGTTGTAGATTTTGTGGAGGACTACAACTTTCATGTTGGAAGTTTTCTTTGAATCCAATTGCATCATGGTGAAAAAGTTGGGAAAAGTTGGGAAAAAATAAGAAATTTTCATAACTTAGAAATTTTAAGTTATGAAAAAATTCAAACTTAAACCCTAATTTTCAAAATTAGGTTTCTTGGTGAACAAGTTTCATGTTTTGACATGTTTTGATGAAAAATGACCCTTGGCACTTGATATTGACCAAAAAGTCAAAGTTTGACTTTTCAGTGTACAGTTGATTTTTGATTAGTTGACTGGAAAATTCATCTGTCAATCCAATGCATTTGAGATCTTTTGAACCTTGTGATTAAGTCAAGATGATTCCATTGAGTCCTTGAGACCATGCTTGAACCCAATTTGCCTTTGGCTAGGTGAAAAATCAGAAATTGCCCTTCTACAGTCAAAACCCTAATTTTGACCATTTTGCCCCTTTGATGATCTGATCAAATTTCTTGAGGAGTTGTGGTACAAACTTGATCAAATGGTTCATATGAATCTATAATGTTGATGTGGATCAAAAATTATGAGTTTTGACTGTAAATTGGCCACAATTGACTTTTTCCCCAATACAACTGATTTCTAGGTCGACTGTCCAATTGACTGGGCAAAAATTTGATTCAAGGCTTAAAACTTGGTATGAGCAATCTTAGGAGTCCAACATGAAGTATGAAAGTCACATGAGGCATTGTAAGTCCAAAAATCCCCGTACAAACTCAAACCCTAATTTCAGGTCATCAGTGCAAGGAGATGTCTTGAGTTGAGCAAACCCTAATCTGGTCTTGAATCTAGAGAAGTCTTGTGAGGAGAATCTTGATAAAATGAGAGGGCAAATTTTGGGGTACAACACTTGGCGTATATGATCTAATGAGTTTAAAGGCATCTCTTTAACCATTTCTTGGAGACAGGATCAGAGAGAACCACCCCACCTATATAGCCAAGTTATTGGTAAAAAGACACTACCTGGATTTTTTGGTATCGATCTTTATGGGATAATTATTCATCCTTGTAACGACACATGTTGGTGTAAGCCCTAGAGGCCAATACTTTTGGTACTTGTATCAAATTATTTATTAATAATAAAAAGGCATTTCTTTATTATGTTTTCTTTTCCAAAATAATAAAGTTCATAGAATAGTTCGTCTATTTAATGAAATGTTAAGATTGACTTAATCATGAGATCCCATTAAACATAAGGACATTATTCTTAAAGTATATGTAGTCGAGCTTTATTGTAAAGTGGTATAACATTAAAGCATTGTGATTATTATGTAGATAGACTGATGATCACATCTCATGGATCATGGATAAGGATTTATCAAGTCTTGACATAGGTATGAATAATATGAGCAATATTTATACTGGATTGATCCACTATGAGAATACTACATAAAATTTTATGCAAAGTATCATAAGTTATTCTCATGGTATTAATGGTGTATACCACCCTTTAACCTGAAGCCACTATGTACCCTAGATGTGGAGTCAAATCCTTTATTGTTGATCAAACGTTATCCATAACTGGATGACCATAAAAACAATTGATGGGTACTTCACAAAGCATGCTAAGGGACATGAGTGACCTAGATGGAATTTTCCCATCCTGCATAACATGATAAATGTCTAAGGGCCCAATATTGAACTAGACAAGGATGACACAGTCTATGTCTTGTGTTCAATATAAACATAAGAGCAAAATGGTAATTATACACACACATATTATCACTGAAAGGTTTTGTCAGATCACATGAAATTTTAGTGACTTGGGTAGCAGTTATGTGTCGCTAGATACCACTCACTGTTTATTATGTTAAATGTGTGATTTAATATAATTGTCAACGTCGCGAAAACCTACAGGGTCACAGACATAAATATATGTTGATGAGAGATGGAGTAAATAAGGAACACCATAAGATACAGTGCATTTAAGAGAATTGTAGTACACCATAAGGTACGATACACTTAAGTGGAATACAGAATATGGTAAGGTACCACGCGCTTAAATGATATACGGTACATCATAAGGTATGATGCCTGTAAGCTTAATTGGGCTTTTAACTTTCAGCTTTAATTGGGCTTTAGCTTGCAGCCTACACAAGTTGTTCTGTAAATAGAAACCTTGTGCTGAAGAATTTTCACTTAGCTTGATGAAAATTCGGTCTTGAAACCCTAACAGTATTTTCTCTCACTCTCTCACTCAAAGTTTTCGTTCGTAAGCAGCTAGCACTGTGACCGAAAGTGATTTATTCGTGTGGACTGAGTAGAGGCGTTGTTCTTCATCAATGCTCATAATCACATCATCAAAGGTCTGAATCGCTACAAGAGGTAATAGTTTCTATCATTGACCAAGCCCATTTGTAAGAATCACTAAAGGAAAATTTTAATTTTCGCTACATTTTGAATTCTAGTTTTTCTTCAACGCATCCCGACTCTAGTAAAGAATCTTCAGATTCAAGTTATAGATTTTTGAATGAGCTTCTTGGGTGAGGGAGACCACCAATAAAAATCCATCCTTAAAGTACACCCGATTCCATATAAAATTTCATTATTTACTACACACACTAACCTGGCATTGGAGTGTTAACCTTATAGATTAGTCTCATCCACTATATCAGAATTAAGGATCTACCGTGAATAACTCTCAACTTAGATTATCCGATCATCATCTTGTTCTCTTACTGAACAGAAGACTAACACTCTTTGATGTTTATGTAATTGTTAAAATCTTACTCCGCTAGACCAACTTTTTGGAAGCATGGAGACTTCGTCCTCCTAATATTAGTGTAAGGGTCGATACCCTTGTACTCCTATCAATAATACTTTCTTTCTTATAAAATAAAAGACTAACATAAAGAAATATTATACAATATCTAAACAAAAAATCATCACTGTAATTTCTTGAAATTGAAATTCCCCATCTAGCATTCACTCATTTATGTCCATACATAGGGTTCATTAATCTTCTAATTTTATAATTCTATTTTCAGTGTTATCTCCATTGAAGAGTCCAATAAAACCAAAAGGGATGCTTTCCACTCCCAATGACATCTCTTCTATCACCTGCAACTTACCAGCACGAAGGTAATCAATTGTTTTACCCAAAAAAACATCCATAAAGTCACTACACAAAAATCCTCAAATGGTGATTCTCTTGTACACAACATCCACCATATTTGGTGAAGCTCTCTTTCCAGCATCAGTGTACTTAGAGATTACACCACAAACAGCCACTCTACCAAATGCTTTCATGTTAGCAACTGCTGCTTCTAGCATTTTTCCTCCAACATTGTCAAAATATATGTCAATTCCATCCGGAAAGTACCTGTAAAAACCACTTTTTTATTTGAAAAGATTATTTTATTTTAGATTTTATCTTCTATCACTAACCAATAAACCTTTTGAGGGTAAAATTTAGATCTTTTTCTTCCTTGTAGTTGAATGCATCATCAAATCCCAGTTTTTCTTTGAGTAATGCAACCTAAGATAAATCATTCATGGATTTCAGCTAAATCCCATATTAGAAATACACTGAAACTATAATACTAAACCTCACCTTCTTATGACTCCCAGCATTATCAACAACGTAGCAACCAAATAATTTTGCATATTACCCTACCAAATTTCCTACTGATCCAGATGCTGCTGAAACAAATACCTTTTCATCTTTTTGGAGTTTGCACACTTGGAAAAGACCTACATAGGCAGACAATCCACTGAGACCTGAAATAAAGAAGGAAAAACTTGTAATCCTAAGTTTCAAATTGATATAAGTATCTAACAACAACCAAGTCTTATGTCATTAAGTGATATCGGCTACACAAATCAAATAAAGCTATAATGTTTTATTTAAGGCTATGTTTCTAACCAATTTCTTAATCTCAACGTAAGAGTTTTTCTTATAGTTTTTCTAGGTCTTCCTCTACTTCTGATGGATTTCAGCTCACATGACTTGAATGGTAATTTAGTCATAAAAGTACCTAGAACTCCAAGATAATAGGTGAGTGGAAATTCAATGGATTATGCTTTGTTCCTTAACCATAGTATACTGAGCCCAAGTGAATGATCCTATAACCAAATCATCTTTTTGAAACTTAGCATTTCCAGAAGCCACAACTTTACCAATAACAGGAGCAACAATAGCCTGGAAGTTAAGTGTCAGCTTATAACAACATAATACATTTTTCCACTCAGTTTTATAACAAAATATAACAGAATACCTGGCCTGGAATAATTTGAGCTGCGGTGGTTACAGAATTTTGAGAAGGGCTGAAGGTTTCATGCGGTTAATCTGACAAGGGTCAACAGATATATACAGATTCTTGACAATGATATCATCAGATCCCTCCTCAACAGATAGAACAAGACCTTCTTCTATTTTAATCTCAAAATGGCACTGTTCAGAGGCACCATAAAAGTTATCCTTAATCACTACGTATTTGTTGCTCACTTCCATTTTCTTACTCAAATTAATGGGTGAGAAATTTACTTATCTTTCTTCTTTTGGACGGATCCACTCATAATGTTTGTGCTTACTAGTCCACTTATATAGAAACGTCATAGGTACCAACATGATTTCTCTATAATCATTTGCCAAAATTCTACCCTATTTTTTCATTTTGCTATAATTTTTTTTGCTATTTTTTCATTTTGCCATCTATTTTATTCTTCCAAATTAAAATTACAAAGTGATTTTATTTCAATAATAACTTTTCTGTCATTTGCTTGATTGATTATTGAGAAATAGAAATATATTATGTTGCTTCACGCGTGATATTATGTTTATAGTTGAGTGATATATTTCACTAAACCCTAAGCCGCATCTAATATATTTATCTTGGGTGATATATTATGTTGCTTCACTAATATATTATGTTTATCATAGAATATTGAAGTAAAGACCACATCTAAAAGAGCTGATTGTGAAACATAAGACCTCTACCTCTAACAATTTTCTACACTTCAATAAATTTATTGTCTAGTCCAACCGCATCACTCTTGCTCATCCACTACTCCCTCTACCTCTTGTTTTTGAATTTGACAGTAATAACTATAGTTTCGATTTTATTCTCTAATGTCGATCCTGGCTATATTTATAAATTTCTTCCTCTAATACCATAACAGTAAGACTTGTTTTTCATTCTTAATTATCTTTTTTTTCCACTACATTACGAGACAATTTGTGCAGTTTTTCCATGAAATTATTTTTCACTACCCTTTTGCATTGTAATTTAACAATAACATTCTAAATAATAATAACCATATATGACTGCAGATTTGTGTAAACAATTATAATTAACCTTATAAAATACTAGACGATTACCCGTGCGATGCACAGATATATTTTATTAAATTATAATAATATAAAAATAATTTAAAATAGAGATAATAAATATTTTTTATATTTGCCATATTTTTTTTGAAAATAAATTGACAATAATTTTCTAATTTTATTTTAAAAAATAAAATATATTTTTAACATGATTAAGAAGAAGAAAAAACTTAAAAGAATATAAAATAATAAAATTTGTATAATATATATATATATATATATATATATATATATATATATATATATATATATATATATATAA